GGTAAGCACATACCCATCTAGGGCATGACTGGACCAAGGATCGGTGCGAGTAGAGGTGTGCAGCTGCTGGTGAACTACAAGTTCCATCATGCCTCTGCGAGTCATGCTTGTAACTGTCAGTTTTGCAATGCCTCATGGGACTTGTAGTTCTACAACATCTGGAGGGCCACAGTTGCCCACCCCTGCTTTAAGCCATCCATTCCATTCCTCAGTCAGTGATTTCCAACTCTATGAAATGATCCTTCATAAAAGATATGGGCGATTACCTGATGATCAGTGGGCGCTGTTTAAAAAAAAAAAAAAAAAACGCCACAAGACGTGGCTTCACTTATTCTGCCCGCCCTCTCACATGCAGGAAGAAGATAAACGAATAGAATTGAGAGTTTTGTTACTGTGAAGATAAAGCAGGACGATCTGATATCTGCAGAGAGAGGAAACCGGATCATTGAATTAAGAAAAGGTCCAAAGAAGAACTTTAATGAAAGCGAGCAAACGTCTAACCCCAGTGTTTAAAGTGAACCTGTCATGAAGAAACAGTCAGTACTAGGCAATAGAACACAAGCCCTCTGCTTGTCCAGTGTGCCCCGGGTACAGGGCGTGTGCAAAGAGAGAAGCCGGTCCGTGCCGCCATCGCTCAGGCGCTGTTCAGACGGGTATCAGCTTGTATAAGAGCAGCATTGCGGATCCATTTACAGTACCCCTCAGTTCCAGTTTGAGGACATTAGCCCCTTTGCACCGGCACCTCCCGGCCCTCTAAGAGCCGGGAGGCAGGACGGAGTTTTAGGGTCATGTAACCGCTGTGATTCGCTGTCATGGCGGTCACATGATCGGAAAGGTCCAGATGGCAAGGGGAGATCGGGACCTTTCCGTGAGTCACGGACATATGTGCTGGGAGCACGCAGGGAGCATGCTGTCAGCACATATGTCTGTGACTCACGGAAAGGTCCCGATCTCCCCTTGCGATCTGGACCTTTCCGATCATGTGACCGCCGTGACAGCGAATCACAGCGGCTCGGCATCAAGGCCCAGACACAAGGAGCCTGCATATGTGTGCGCTTAAAATCTAGCGGTTAAACCAGGTGCGGACTGATAGCTCATGGGGCCCCCGGGCAATAGGGGATCATGGGGCCCGTGTCCTCACCCACACTTAAACCACATCCAAAAAAGCCTATGAATGGTACCAGGGGCATCTCATGGGGCCCCCTACTGACCCCGGGCCCTCGGGCAGTCTCCGAGTTCCCAAATGGTCAGTCCGCCCCTGGGTTAAACACAGATCAGTGCTTCAACATTGCAGGAGGTTTGTTGAATGCCTGCTAGTTGCTTGTTTAAATTGACCATCAGCACCCCCTTGATCGCTTGCCCTCCAGAGGATTCCCCCCCTCTTCCTGACCAGGCCATTCCTTGCGTTACGGCGCTGCGTTACTTTAACTGACAATTGCACGGTTATGCAACGCTGCACCCAAATTAAATTTTAAATTTTTACCCACAAATAGAGCTTTCTTTCAGGACTTTATCACCTCTGTGGTTTTTATTTTTTGTGCTATAAACATAAAAAGACCAACAATTTTGAAATAAAAAAAAACAGTATTTTTGACTTTTTGCCATGAAAACGTCCAATAAAAAAAATGTAAAAAATCGAATTTCGTCATAAATTTAGGCCAAAACGTATTCTGCACCGTGTGTTTGCTAAAAACAAATCCCAATACGTGTAAATGAATTGGTTTACGTAACAGTCATAACGTTTACAAATGGCGGTATATATACTGGAATTTTAATACACTTTTTTTATATACTAGTAATGGCGGCGATCAGTGACTTATAGCGGGACTGCGGCGGGCATTCTGACACTGGGGGGGGGGGACTGACTTGGTGTCACTGACATCCCCAGTGACACCAATACAGTGATTAGTGCTAATCAAAAGCACTAACACTGTACTAATGGCACTGGGCAGGAAGGGGGTAACATCTGTGGCAATCAAAGGGTTAACTGTGCGCTGTGTGTGTCTTACTAGGGAGACATGCTGTGCAGAGGGATAACAAGCAACATGTCCTGGCTGACAGGGGAGAGATCGGTTTTGTTTACACGCAGGTCTCTCCCGTCAGCTTTGCACAGCGATCGCCGGGTGCGGGAGGGGAATCCTCCGGCCGGGACCCGGTGATTGACATGCCTAGCTGCCAATGGTGGCGCAGGCAGAGCGATCCCTACCTGGAAATGCAAATCACACATATATATATATATTTATTATACACATACATACACACACATACGTAATTTTACAATAGAGTCCGCTCTGTAGCAGTAATCCTGCTGTAGGGCAAAGTTAAACCTCCAGCCTCTTGTCAGTCTTTCCTTTAGTAGGAAAAGTGAAAATGTCTCTTTAAATCCTCCCTCCGGGCTCCCCTCCAGTCTTTCACATATGTACTGGCTCCTCCCATTTAGCCTTGCACAGGTGTATCGGCTCCTCCCCTTCAGGCCTGCACATGTGTACCGGCTCCTCCCCTTCAGGCCTGCACATGTGTACCGGCTCCTCCCCTTCAGGCCTGCACATGTGTACCGGCTCCTCCCCTTCAGGCCTGCACAGGTGTACCGGCTCCTCCCCTTCAGGCCTGCACAGGTGTACCGGCTCCTCCCCTTCAGGCCTGCACAGGTGTACCGGCTCCTCCCCTTCAGGCCTGCACAGGTGTACCGGCTCCTCCCCTTCAGGCCTGCACAGGTGTACCGGCTCCTCCCCTTCAGGCCTGCACAGGTGTACCGGCTCCTCCCCTTCAGGCCTGCACAGGTGTACCGGCTCCTCCCCTTCAGTCTTGCACAGGTGTACCGGCTCCTCCCCTTCAGTCTTGCACAGGTGTACCGGCTCCTCCCCTTCAGTCTTGCACAGGTGTACCGGCTCCTCCCCTTCAGTCTTGCACAGGTGTACCGGCTCCTCCCCTTCAGTCTTGCACAGGTGTACCGGCTCCTCCCCTTCAGTCTTGCACAGGTGTACCGGCTCCTCCCCTTCAGTCGTGCACAGGTGTACCGGCTCCTCCCCTTCAGTCTTGCACAGGTGTACCGGCTCCTCCCCTTCAGTCTTGCACAGGTGTACCGGCTCCTCCCCTTCAGTCTTGCACAGGTGTACCGGCTCCTCCCCTTCAGTCTTGCACAGGTGTACCGGCTCCTCCCCTTCAGTCTTGCACAGGTGTACCGGCTCCTCCCCTTCAGTCTTGCACAGGTGTACCGGCTCCTCCCCTTCAGTCTTGCACAGGTGTACCGGCTCCTCCCCTTCAGTCTTGCACAGGTGTACCGGCTCCTCCCCTTCAGTTAAAAGGTAATATCTAATAATGTCATTAGAATGAAGTTGCTAGAGGGAGGAGGAAGCAGGGAAGGCAAAAGAAGCAGAACACACTCTGGGGGTGGATTTACTAAGGCCAAATACACTGTGTACTCTGCAAGTGCAGTTGCTGCAGAGCTTATCAAATGAGGTCAAACTTGATTTTGCAAAGAATACCCAATCATGTGCAAGGAACATTCACTATATCCGCTGTCCCCCGGACCCCGCATTCACTATATCCGCTGTCCCCGGACCCCGCATTCACTATATCCGCTCTCCCCATGCCCCGCATTCACTATATCCCCTCTCCCCGGACCCCGCATTCCCTATATCCGCTCTCCCCGGACCCCGCATTCGCTATATCCGCTCTCCCCGGACCCCGCATTCACTATATCCGCTCTCCCCGGACCCCAAATTCACTATATCCGCTCTCCCCGGACCCCGCATTCGCTATATCCGCTCTCCCCGGACCCCGCATTCACTATATCTGCTCTCCTCGGACCCCGCATTCACTATATCCGCTCTCCCCGGACCCCGCATTCACTATATCCGCTGTCCCCAGACCCCGCATTCGCTATATCCGCTCTCCCCGGACCCCGCATTCACTATATCCGCTCTCCCCAGACCCCGCATTCACTATATCCGCTCTCCCCGGACCCCACATTCACTATATCCGCTTTCCCTGGACCCCGCATTCACTATATCAGCTCTCCCCGGACCCCGCATTCACTATATCTGCTCTCCCACAGTACACAGAACATGGAAATGCAATTATTTTAGTAAATATAAACTGCTAAATCCCTTTTCTCATCAGCAGTATAGAGCAGTCTTGTGACTTCTATCAGTGTCCAGCAGAGCACTGGTTACAGCTTGTAGGAGGAGTTTTCTTTCTGCTCTAGGAGCATGCAGAACCCCTGACCCTCTGTCTGGACAGTGCTGATTGGCCCTGTGCTGATCACACGCACTCTTCCAAGAAAAAAAAAAAACCTCTCTAGCAATACACACTAAACTGACCACATGTGGAGAACGGCTACAGGTTCAGTCTGTCTTATCAGCGTAGACATTTGAACAAGAGGAGGATCAGAGAAGACAGGATCAAACCGTCCTTTTTACACAAGGCAGAGGATTAACCCCTTAGGTCCCACAGCGAGTATAACAAGCGTGCTTTCCTGATTTTATGGTTGGTAGTAACACTTTAACATCCCCACACTGGAACGGAAGGTTGTTTTGAGGTTTTGTTTCTTAAGGTCTCACTGGGGCCGCTTGCTGAAATCTTTACAAATGAGTGGTTGTGCTCAGTGCTCTGATACCAGCTAACCCCCGTGTGAGCAGGGCCTTCGTAATGGGTTTTTAGGTGATCTTTAAACCTTTTGCACCGCTCATCAAAGTAACACATTAAGGGGGTTATTTACTAAAACTGCACGGTGCAAAATCTGGTGCAGCTCAGCTCAGAAACCAATCAGCTTCCAGGTTTTATCATCACAGCTGCATTGATCAAGCTGAAGGTAGAAGCTGATTGGCTCCCGGGCACAGCTGCCCCAGATTCTGACTGCTCCAGTTTTAGTAAATCCCCCCCCCCCAGTGTACGAGGAAACCTGGTCAGTAATGAAATCTACCCCTGTAGCGGTTCTAGAGGAAAGGTCTGTAGATGGCAGTGTGCGGGTCTCAGTGGGAAGTGACGCGTTGCCTAGGCTAGCCGGAAGGTTCCGCTGCTGTGATATAGAGATCAGTCCTAAAACAGCTGAACAACCGCAGCAATGCAAGTCTCACGGCTATTTCCCCGGAGGGGTGATCATGGTGCATTTCTGGGGTGTAGGTCAGAAGTACAATCATCACCCAAAAGTGCAGGAGCGCCTGAAATACAAAAAAAAAATTGAATCATTAGAAATTTTCATTTTTTTTATTTTTTCTTAATTTATTTTATTTTTATTTTACACACCCCCTCCCTGTCTCTGCAATAGGTCTTGTGACAGGGGGGAATTCAACTCATTGGCCGCCTCATTTGTAGTGTGTGTCCATGTCAGTCTGAACTGTGTCCCCAATGTAAGGGATATTCTTCCCACTGACCCCCAATGTAAGGAGCATTCTTCCCACTGACCCCCAATGTAAGGGACATTCTTCCCACTGACCCCCAATGTAAGGGGCATTCTTCCCACTGACCCCCAATGTAAGGAGCATTCTTCCCACTGACCCCCCAATGTAAGGAGCATTCTTCCCACTGACCCCCAATGTAAGGGGCATTCTTCCCACTGACCCCCAATGTAAGGAGCATTCTTCCCACTGATCACCAATGTAAGGGGCATTCTTCCCACTGATCCCCCAATGTAAGGAGCATTCTTCCCACTGACTACCAATGTAAGGAGCATTCTTCCCACTGACCCCCAATGTAAGGGACACTCTTCCCACTGATCCCCAATGTAAGGGACACTCTTCCCACTGACCCCCAATGTAAGGGACACTCTTCCCACTGACCCCCAATGTAAGGGACACTCTTCCCACTGACCTCCAATGTAAGGGACATTCTTCCCACTGATCCCCAATGTAAGGGACACTCTTCCCACTGACCCCCAATGTAAGGGACACTCTTCCCACTGACCCCCAATGTAAGGGACATTCTTCCCACTGACCACCAATGTAAGGGACATTCTTCCCACTGACCCCCAATGTAAGGGACATTCTTCCCACTGATCACCAATGTAAGGGACATTCTTCCCACTGACCCCCAAAGTAAGGGACATTCTTCCCACTGACCCCCAATGTAAGGAGCATTCTTCCCACTGACCCCCAATGTAAGGGACATTCTTCCCACTGACCCCCAATGTAAGGGACATTCTTCCCACTGACCCCCAATGTAAGGGACATTCTTCCCACTGACCCCCAATGTAAGGGACATTCTTCCCACTGACCACCAATGTAAGGGACATTCTTCCCACTGACCACCAATGTAAGGGACATTCTTCCCACTGACCACCAATGTATTTTTTTTTTTTTATTTTTTTATTTATTTTTATTTTACACACCCCCTCCCTATCTCTGCAATATGTCTTGTGACGGGGGGAATTCGACTCGTTGGTCGCCTTGTTTGTAGTGCGTCCATGTCAGTCTGAACTGTGTCTACAAGCGTGGCAGCCCACTTTTATTGAAAAAGTAAAAGTTCATAAACAATTTCCCACGCAAGGGAACTTTCACCAACAAAACTATGGAAAATGCTAAGTCACCTGGTATTAGATAATGTGACAATGTCCCTTTAACCCCTCACCCTCCTGAGGATTCCGCCCCCCCCCTTCCTGACTAGGCCATCTTTTGCGTTACTTTAACTGACAATTGCGCGGTCATGCAATGCTGTACCCAAGTGAAATTTATGTCCTTTTTTCCCCCACGAATTGAGCTTTCGGTGGTTTATGGGTACCAAGATAGTCCATTCTCTTTTTTTTGTAGGGTCCCCCCCCCCCCCCACCCTCCTTTCTTCTATATATAGTCACTGTTGGACGATGGTACCGCCATATTTTTCCTCTAGTTGCTAATTATTGTGAGGCTTCTCATTTATTTACACTCTACTTACCATATAAATAATAATAAATACTCGAGCGATAGGATATCTTCTCAGGAAAACGCCGAGACGGATACTGAAAGAGGGAAAAAAAACAAAAGTCCAGTTTAAGGAACACTCCGACCAAACAGTACAGTTGAAGTAAGACTGAATAATGGATCAGTACCTAAACTGGTCTATGGTGGTCGCAGCTTTCCGGACCCTGCCGTACACGCCGGCCATGTTTGTGTCCGAGTCGCTGAACAAAACTGGGACACTTCTTAGACGGGCACCTAGGAAAGGCAGGAGAGAGTTCAGTACCACGGATGAGCTGAGACACGGACTGTGAGTGAGAAGCAATGGACCACTTGAGCTTTATCTGCAGGATATTCTAGAACAGCCATTCTTAACCAGAGTCCATGGAATCCTAGGGTTCCTCTAGAGGTGGCTACGGGTTCCCTGAGCAATTAGTCATTTCTGTCTCTCGGATACGTTCCCACTGACACCACTGATCTATTCCTTTTCAGCTATCTGTAAGGGGAGCATTCTTCCTACTGACCCCCAATGTAAGGGACATTCTTCCTACTGACCCCCAATGTAAGGGACATTCTTCCTACTGACCCCCAATGTAAGGGACATTCTTCCCACTGACCCCCAATGTAAGGGACATTCTTCGTACTGACCCCCAATGTAAGGGACATTCTTCCCACTGACCACCAATGTAAGGGACATTCTTCTCACTGACCACCAATGTAAGGGACATTCTTCTTCTCACTGACCACCAATGTAAGGGACATTCTTCTCACTGACCACCAATGTAAGGGACATTCTTCTCACTGACCACCAATGTAAGGGACATTCTTCTCACTGACCACCAATGTAAGGGACATTCTTCCCACTGACCCCCAATGTAAGAGGCATTCTTCCCACTGACCCCCAATGTAAGGGGCATTCTTCCCACTGACCCCAATGTAAGGGGCATTCTTCCCACTGACCCCCAATGTAAGGGGCATTCTTCCCACTGACCCCCAATGTAAGGGGCATTCTTCCCACTGACCCCCAATGTAAGGGGCATTCTTCCCACTGACCCCCAATGTAAGGGGCATTCTTCCCACTGACCCCCAATGTAAGGGGCATTCTTCCCACTGACCCCCAATGTAAGGGACATTCGTCCCACTGATCACCAATGTAAGGGACATTCTTCCCACAGACCCCCAATGTAAGGGACATTCTTCCCACTGACCCCCCAATGTAAGGGGCATTCTTCCCACTGACCCCCAATGTAAGGGATATTCTTCCCACTGACCACCAATGTAAGGGACATTCTTCCCACTGACCACCAATGTAAGGACATTCTTCCCACTGACCCCCCAATGTAAGGGGCATTCTTCCCACTGACCCCCAATGTAAGGGACATTCTTCTCTCTGACCACCAATGTAAGGGACATTCTTCGTACTGACCCCCAATGTAAGGGACATTCTTCGTACTGATCCCCAATGTAAGGGACATTCTTCCCACTGATCCCCAATGTAAGGAGCATTCTTCCCACTGACCCCCAATGTAAGGAGCATTCTTCCCACTGACCTCCAATGTAAGGAGCATTCTTCCCACTGACCCCCAATGTAAGAAGCATTCTTCCCACTGACTCCCAACGTAAGGGGCATTCTTCCCACTGACCCCCAACGTAAGGGACATTCTTCCCACTGACCCCCAATGTAAGGAGCATTCTTCCCACTGACCCCCAATGTAAGGAGCATTCTTCCCACTGACCCCCAATGTAAGGAGCATTCTTCCCACTGACTCCCAATGTAAGGGGCATTCTTCCCACTGACCCCCAATGTAAGGGACATTCTTCACACTGACCACCAATGTAAGGGACATTCTTCCCACTGACCCCCAATGTAAGGGGTATTCTTCCCACTGACCCCCAATGTAAGGGGTATTCTTCCCACTGACCCCCAATGTAAGGGGCATTCTTCCCACTGACCCCCAATGTAAGGGGCATTCTTCCCACTGATCCCCAATGTAAGGGACATTCTTCCCACTGACCCCCAATGTAAGGGGCATTCTTCCCACTGACCCCCAATGTAAGGGGCATTCTTCCCACTGATCCCCAATGTAAGGGGCATTCTTCCCACTGATCCCCAATGTAAGGGACATTCTTCCCACTGACCCCCAATGTAAGGGACATTCTTCCCACTGACCCCCCCAATGTAAGGGACATTCTTCCCACTGACCCCCAATGTAAGGGACATTCTGGTTAGCTCCTGTGTCAGGATTACCTCTCCCATGATTCCATGCCCCCAGCCCATAATGCACATGTGTGCCTACTCTAATAGCACCAGGTAACCTCCTGCGACATAACTACAGGTCCCATGATTCCTCACTCCCAACCCATAATGCGTATCTGTGCCCCCTCTGACTGATCTACATCAGGTTCCTCTTCTCAAACCTTTGTAGTCCTGGCTGGCAGAGCACATGTGAGGGTGGCTACAATGGGGGCTCCAGGGAAGACAAGCAAGGCAGTGTAGCCACCCTCTAGGTGAAAATATCAGGGACACAGATGTTGGTGTAAGACTGTTCTGCAGAAGGGGATAGCAGCAACAGAAGTACATGAGATAAGATGCTACATTTACAATTTGCTATTGAGAGTTTATTAAAGTGATTCTAAAGGCTTTTTTTGTTTCTTTAAAATAACAACCATGTCTATACTTACCTGCTCTGTGTAGTGGAATTGCACAGAGCAGCCCCGATCCTCCTCTTCTCAGACCCCTCGCGCTGGCGCTTCTGGCCCCTCCTCCTTGCCGAGTGCCCCCAAGCTGCTTGCTCTGGGGGTACTCGTGCGTGCTTGCTCCCGAGCCATCTCTGTGTATCTATCAGACACACAGAGCACGGCTTAGTCCCGCCCCCTCCTCACTGGCAGTAACTGACAGCGGTGGGAGCCAATGGCTCCTGATGCTGTGTCTCAGCCAATGAGGAGGCAGAGACCAGGGAGAGCTTCTGCTCTCCTGCACATTACTGAATTGGGATCAGGCTCAGGTGAGTATGGGGGGGGGGGGGGGCACACTGAAGATTTTTTGTCTTCATGCATACACTGTATGATGATAAATAACCTTCAAGCTTTAGAACCACTTTTACATTTGTGGACAGTTTTATGTCTGACTCGTTGGGGAGACTTTCTGGATTTCCTGGTGATACCAAGATGAGAAACAGGGGGAGCCATTGTCTCTGGGGGCAAAAAAAACATTAATCAGAAGTTCCAACCCCTCCAATCCCACTTTACAATGAATACTTTTTCTTTCTTTTTTTGTGCTCCTACTGAAATCATTTCCAAATCTCCCTCAATAGAGAAACACAAAGCAATCAATAAACAACCCGATGACAGAAGCTCTTCTCCTTTCCCGCTCATTCCATATAGAAGAAAAACTTTTGTCTTTAACTCCTATGAGGCTCATGAACGTACCATCTCCGCTGTCCACGGCGGACATATTGATGGAGGACCCTCCCCCTCCGCTCCCCTGGGTGGTCTTCATCTGATTTTCCAGCCTCTCCAGCTGATAGACCAGCGAGTTCTTCTCGGTACTCAGACTCTCCAGCATGGTCTGTTTCTGGATCAGGGTCTCGGTCAGTTGGTGCAGCCGGTTCTCCAGCTCCGTCTGACTGCTGCTGCTCAGCGCTTTGTTCGTAAGCTGGAAAATGAAGGCAGAACTACATCAGAGGAGGTTCCGCCATCAAACTGCATCCAGCGCACAGCCATCCAACCCGTAAGGACTCCAGTATTCGTAGGCCAGAAAGCAAGATGGCGGATATCGCTCCTAGAATGGTGCCACCAAGGGGAGATGGTGACAGCAAGGCAAGGACTGCATGGGTTGGTTCTTAACCGTTTCAATACCGGGCAATTTTACACCTTCCTGCCCAGGCCATTTTTCAGGTTTCAGAGCTCTCACACTTTGAATGACAATTGCGCGGTCATACAACACTGTACCCAAACTAAAATTTTATCATTTTCTTCACACAACTAGAGCTTTCTTTTGGAGGTATTTAATCATCGCTGGGGTTTTTATTTTTTGCTAAATTAACAAAAAAAGACCAAAAATTTTGAAAAAAAAAAACATTTTTCTTTGTTTCTGTTATAAAAGTTTACAAATAAATAATTGTTCTTCATAAATTTAGGCCGAGATGTATTCTGCTACATGTCTTTGGTGAAAATAACCCAAATTAGGATGTATTATTTAGTTTGTAGGAAAGTTATAGAGTTCACAAACTATGGTATAGATCTGAATATTGATCAATCCTGAAGTACTGACAGCCAATCTAATTTCTTGAGGTCCAAGAATGTCAGAATAGTACAGATATCCCCCAAATGTCAGGACGGTACAGATATCCCCCAAATGACCCCTTTTTGCAGAGTAGACAGTCCGACGTACTTCATAGGAGGCATGGCGAGTTTTTTGAAGTTGTATTTTTTTGTCATAATTTTTCCAAAAATGAAAAAATGAAAAAAATTATTTTCACTATTTTTTTTTTTACATACTGTCACCAGTGCAGTACAGCGTCATCATATAACTGGCATGGCGGTGAACAGGGACACTGACTGGTGACAGTATGAAAAAAAAATATATATATATTTTTTTAAAAATTTTTTTTATATTTAATTTTTTATTACATTTTTTTTTATTTTTTTTAAGATTTTTTTTTCATATTTTACTATGACCAAAGTAGTACAATGTTACCATAGTAACATTGTACTACTTTGGGGAAGTGATCAGTATTTTTTTTTTTTTTTTTTTTTTTTTTTTACACAATTTGCTTATAGCAAAGAATTACTTTGCTATAAGCAAGCATTTACCTGAATGAAATCGATTCATTCAGCTTTTTTTTTTTTTTTTTTTGTGCTTAGCTGTGATTTGGTCACAGCTAATCACATGACATGTGCATGTGATTAGCTGTGACCATTCACAGCTAGGCACTAGTATACAATGGATGGCATCATGAATGAAGCCATGCATGTATACAACTGTCATGTGACCTGCTGTGATTGGTCACAGCAGGTCACATGGTACCAGCAACGGGAGCCGGTACTCGGATCTGTCATCGGCCGTGTCCGAGGTGCACGGCCGACGACAGATCGCACTGCTGCGCCGCTCTGCACTAGCGCAAACGGCGCATGTGCGGGAGCACGCCAAATGGCGTGCACCCGGAATGGAGGAGCACATCTGAAGCCGCCAAATGGCCATTGGCCGGGCGGCTAATGGTTACCTCAAGCTCTGTGCATGTTTCTGGTAGAGTCATTAGACAACAAGATGGATGAGGATTCTGGGAATACAAGCCCAGAAAACTATATAACGTTCAGGTGTATCTACAGCCAACTTTATTGTTTTTTTTTAAGTTTGGAAAAGAGTAAGGGTTGGTTAAACCCCACCAGGTTCTTTTTTTTGGCCATCTGTGTCCCATTGGAGATACAACTTCTACAGGAAATGAAGGGAAATCTCCACTTCCCGTCCAGCTGTTGTATATAAACGGCCACACGGTGGCAGTGCAGGAGCGGGTGGCCGTTTATAACCGGCCTCCCCACCCCCTGCTTGTGCGTCCTCCCTGGGAGCGCGCAGCACCGCAATCCAGTGCCCGCTGTGTCCACAGTGGAACACCGATCGTTGTACGGGACCTCTGCGTGAGGTCCTGATCATGTGATCACTGACTGGCCAAATCAGTGATCACATGAATAGTAGTAAACCAGATGTCACTTCCTGACATCATTGCTTACTACGTGTGAAATGTGTGAATGAGCACAGAGATCACATGGTACAGGGCTATTCACAACAGCCTTGTACCAGGTGACAAGCTGTGACCAATCACAGCTCACACAGTATTTCTCAATGGCTGCAGGAATGCAGCCAGAGAGAAGGAGAAATGATTGCTTTTACAGCCTTTATGGGTGTAAAAGCAATCAGTGTAAAAAAAAAAAAAAAAAAAATCTTCATCACACCCCGCAAGTAGTACAGTGTCATTATGGTGACACTGTACAGCTAGGGTGACAGTACGTAAAAAAAAAAAAAAAAAATAATAAAAAAAAAATGTTTTAAAAAATTATAATTTTTGGTTATAAACTAATTTGGTTTTTTTTTTTTTTTTTTACTAAAAAGATAACTGAATACATTTTGGCCAAGATTTATGATGAAATATTATTTATGTGCAATATTTTATAAGAAAAACACTTTTTTTCAAAATTTTTGAACTTTTTCCATTTATATAAAAAAAATAAAAATCCCAGTGGTGAATAAATACCACCAAAACAAAGTTTTACCTGTCAAAAAAAAAAAAAAAAAAAAAATAAAAAATTCATATGGGTACAGTGTTGCATGACCGCGCAATTGCCATTCAAAGTGTGACAGCGCTGAATATTCAGCATATTGGCCTGGACTGGAAGGGGGGGGAAAGTGTCCGGACCGGAAGGGGGGGAAAGTGTCCGGACCGGAAGGGGGGGAAAGTGCCCGGACCGAAAGGGGGGGAAAGTGCCCGGACCGGAAGGGGGGGAAAGTGCCCGGACCGAAAGGGGGGGAACGTGCCCGGACCGAAAGGGGGGGAACGTGCCCGGACCGAAAGGGGGGGAACGTGCCCGGACCGAAAGGGGGGGGAACGTGCCCGGACCGAAAGGGGGGGGAACGTGCCCGGACCGAAAGGGGGGGAACGTGCCCGGACCGAAAGGGGGGGGAACGTGCCCGGACCGGAAGGGGGGGAACGTGCCCGGACCGGAAGGGGGGGAACGTGCCCGGACCGGAAGGGGGGGAACGTGCCCGGACCGGAAGGGGGGGAACGTGCCCGGACCGGAAGGGGGGGAACGTGCCCGGACCGGAAGGGGGGGAACGTGCCCGGACCGGAAGGGGGGGAACGTGCCCGGACCGGAAGGGGGGGAACGTGCCCGGACCGGAAGGGGGGGAACGTGCCCGGACCGGAAGGGGGGGAACGTGCCCGGACCGGAAGGGGGGGAACGTGCCCGGACCGGAAGGGGGGGAACGTGCCCGGACCGGAAGGGGGGAAACGTGCCCGGACCGGAAGGGGGGAAACGTGCCCGGACCGGAAGGGGGGGGAACGTGCCCGGACCGGAAGGGGGGGAACGTGCCCGGGACCGGAAGGGGGGGAACGTGCCCGGACCGGAAGGGGGGGAACGTGCCCGGACCGGAAGGGGGGGAACGTGCCCGGACCGGAAGGGGGGGAACGTGCCCGGACCGGAAGGGGGGGAAAGTGTCCGGACCGGAAGGGGGGGGAAAGTGTCCCGGACCGGAAGGGGGGGAAAGTGTCCAGACCGGAAGGGGGGGAAAGTGAGAGAAATGCTCTTTTTTGGCGGATGTCAACATAGCAAGTGCCCCCAATGAACTATTTCCCCTCACCTGCTTTTCTTGGGACAATTCCCATTGACTTGTATGGGGAGAGAAAGCCAACACAGTGGGACAACACAAGTTCTTACTAACCACGCTTACCTCGGCACAGAAGCCCACTAGGAGATCCCTGGATGGACACAAAAACATAAATACAAGGCATAAGTATTACATCACACTATATATTACCTGATTTCTGAGTTTCTGGATCTCATCCTCTCGGTCTCTGATTCTCCCTTGAAGTGTATTCTTGGTCCTGTGAAAATCCTCCTGTGTGTACTGAAGTTCCTGGGGAGAATAACAAAAGCCAACATGTAGCAAAACTATGAAAAAAAGAGTCCTGGGACTAAAAAGGGAAGGATAACACAAAGGGCTCTTTCACACGGGCGTTCCGTATGTCCGTTTTTCATCTGTTTACGGATTAAAAAACGGACACCCGTGTATTTCTATGGACTAGCCGTCTTGCTGAGCAGGCTCGGAGCTCAGGCTGGATCTGTCATTGGCACTGGGAGCCGTCAGACCGCTCAATAGCGGAGTGCAGTGAAAGCAAAGGAAGGAGTGTGTGCTGTGCTCTCTGCCTCCCCCTAGAGTGCAGTACCCGGCTCTGTGAATGAACAACGAAGTACTGCAACTTTTTATAGGTGTGTGTGTGTGTCTAATTTCAGCTCACTCTGGTCACATGATCCTCTATGTCAGCCAGTGGTGGCTTCAGGGGAGAGGAGAGAACACTTAACAGCGTGCGTGTGTGTACATGTGTGTGTGTTTGTGTGTGTCTGTGTATGCATGTACATGTGTCTGCGTGTATGTACATGTATGTGTGTATATGCGTGTCTGTACGTGCCTGTGTGTGTATACATGTGTCTGTATGTGTGTGTACATGTGTCTCTGTGCGTGTGTGTACATGTTTCTGTGTGTATGTATGTATGTGTATGTACATGTCTGTGTGTTTCTGTACAGGTGTCTGTTTGTTGGTGGCGAGTAACTCTTAAGGCCTGGCTAGTAGCTCAGGACTTGAAATTTTAAGCCCTGGACTACCCGATGTAAACAGATGATCATCCATTTACATCCATTTATGCCCGCATCCGTTAACATCTGTTTTTTTCGAATGGAAGAAAAACAGTTTTCTTCCGTACAAAAACATGGAATGGACGAAAAACGGATGTAAAGGGACTTACAGTTGTTTTCAAATTAGTAAAGGATGTAAAAAAAAACGAATGTAAACTGATATGTTTTTTCTTTGAATAAAACTAAACTGAAGAAAAAAATGGAACGCCTGTGTGAAAGGACCAAAAATGTGCTAGGACACACACACACACACACACACACACACACACACACACACACACACACACACACACACACACGAAAGTGATGAAGGTATGTTACAAACAACTGCGCTGAATATATAAACAGGTGATAAAAGCCATTATTGAGCAAATAATAGCTGTGTATAACCACATAAGCTAAGCTGCCACTTTAATGGTAAAGTATATAAAAAATACAAAAAAATACAGGTACCCCATGCATCACTGCAACATCTTGTAACACCAAGGAGGGTACACCGATACACAAACCGACCACGCCAGCACAGATTTGCGTCCATGCTTGGTGTGGTCAGATTGGGGGATTGGCAGGATCACCGGCATTTCACAGTAAATGATCAAATAAAAAGAGCACAGGCTACTTTTACAAACTACATGAAAAGACAGGTTTATATATATTTTAGCAGGTATTCAAGTGGCGCATAATCAATAATCCGTAAAAAAAAAAAAAAACAATTAAAAAAAAACATATAAAAGTGAATAAAAATGTTCCACAACAAAAATATATATCATTGGAAATGATTGTGTATAGTCCAAAAGACTTTGATGACGTGTCATGGCTGTCACATGACCCTAAACCCCGCTCCGCCTCCCAGCTCCTGAAACCCTTAAAGGGCCGGGAGGCGCCGGCGTGAAGGGGTTAATATGTATTAATGCTCTTAAAAATGATTTTTCTGTATAACTTGTAAATACCTGTGCATGGCTTAAAGGGGTTCTAAAGGCTCCAAGTTTTTTGCCTTCATGTAATCTATGCATGAAGGTAAATATACTTCTGAGTGCAGCATTCCGGATCGAAAGATGAGATCGGGACCTTTCCATGAGTACTGGACATGTGTGCTGGGAGAGTGCAGGGCGCGCGCTCTCAGCACTTATGTTTTTTTAATAGAACGCAAATGTGCGGGCCGCTCGGTGTCTAGGCCCAGAGGCCGGGAGGCCGCACATTTGCGTTCGGCCGGCCTGAAGAGGTTAAGTACATAAGGCTGATGACACACATTTTAGGTTTGTCTATATACACCAATAAAAGGAGCAAATGTCTGGACATTACCTGTTTCTGGCGCTCCAGTTCAGCCTCCAGCTCCTGCTTTCCCCTCCTTTGCTCCGCCATCTGCTCCTGCAGATCATTCACTTGTTCCCTGACAGTTTCTGCTTCACTCACTTGTTGAGTCTCCAGATCCTGAAATGGAGAAGAGATGAAGCATAAACGTGTGTGCATCTTCTAAGGCTGTAACATATTAATGGAGAGTTTTACAGAAAGCAAAAAAAAAACAAAAAAACCCCCCCCAAAACAAACAAAAAAACACATAATTCCACACAAGAAAAGCCCAAAACACTAAAAAGCTGCATTCTCAGTGACATCACCACCCTCTAGTGAATGGATAGGCTGCATTCTCAGTGATGTCACCGCTCTCTAGTGAATGGATAGGCTGCATTCTCAGTGATGTCACCGCTCTCTAGTGAATGGATAGGCTGCATTCTCAGTGATGTCACCCCTCTCTAGTGAATGGATAGGCTGCATTCTCAGTGATGTCACCGCTCTCTAGTGAATGGATAGGCTGCATTCTCAGTGATGTCACCCCTCTCTAGTGAACGGATAGGCTGCGTTCTCAGTGATGTCACCGGTCTCTAATGAATGGATAGGCTGCATTCTCAGTGATGTCACCGCTCTCTAGTGAATGGATAAGCTGCATTCTCAGTGATGTCACTGCTTTCTAATGAAGGGATAGGCTTCATTCTCAGTGATGTCACCGCTCTCTAGTGAATGGATAGGCTGCATTCTCAGTGATGTCACCGCTCTCTAGTGAATGGATAGGCTGCATTCTCAGTGATGTCACCGCTCTCTAGTGAATGGATAGACTGCATTCTCAGTGATGTCACCGCTCTCTAGTGAATGGATAGGCCACATTCTCAGTGATGTCACCGCTCTCTAGTGAATGGATAAGCTGCATTCTCGGTGATGTCACCGCTTTCTAGTGAATGGATAAGCTGCATTCTCAGTGATGTCACCGGTCTCTAGTGAATGGATAGGCCGCATTCTCAGTGATGTCACCGGTCTCTAGTGAATGGATAGGCCGCATTCTCAGTGATGTCACCGCTCTCTAGTGAATGGAGAATGGATAGGCTGCCTTCTAGGTGATGTCACCGCTCTCTAGTGAATGGAGAATGGATAGGCTGCATTTTCATTGATGTCACCACTCTCTAGTGAATGGATAGGCTGCATTCTCAGTGATGTCACTGCTCTCTAGTGAATGGATAGGCTAGGAAAACTTTGGTTGCTATAGACAACATATACATGTATCCTATTCTCTCGGGTAACAGAGCACGCCTCACCAAAGATCTATCTGAATGTGTAATGTAGGGCTGTATGTAATACAGAGGAGCAGTGCATAAGGGAACATCCTCTTACCTGTAACTCAGCTTTCAGCTGCTGGATCTGAGCCAGAAGTTTCTGGATCTCTTCTCTCTGCATGTCTCTCTCGTGTCTCATCTCCTCCAGCTCCATGCTGCTGCCTACATGGCTGTCCAACCCCTCCAGGCCCGAGCCCTCCTTCAGGCTGCTGATCAGTTTCTCTTTGGACTGTGAGATACAAGAAAACAGAGATAATGAGCAAAAGTTGGAAGTTCTTGTCCTTCCCCCAATCTATCCAAAATCTATCCAAAACCTAAAAAAAAAGGTGTTCCACTTTAACCACTCCTGGGGTTTCAGACTCCAGATAGCACCAAAAAGAGGACCTGTCATGACCTATGCTATTACAATGGATGTTGATAGTAGGAAAAAAAAAAAAAAAAAAAACCTAAAAAAAAAAAGGTACGTTAAATAAAAAACAAAATAATAATAATTATTATTATTATTTAAAAAAATAAATAAAAAGCACAAACACGAACATGCACATAGGTGCTGCTGCACGCATATGTGAACAGTGATCTTGCCACACTGGAGGTATCACTGCGAATGTCAGAACGAGAGCAATATTTCTAGCTCCAGACCGTCTGTGTGACTCTAAACTGGTAACCGGGTTAAGGCTTTTTAAGTGTTTAATTTTGCTTTATTTTAGTTTGTTGCCGTTCCACGGGCATACGCAATTTTAGTGCATGACACTATTTACTGAGGCGTTTGAGGAGCGGCACCGTAGACTTGAATGGGAGGCTTCAACTCCTCCTGACTGGACATGAGGCTTCAGTTTTGCCGCGACGCAACACTAACGCTTCAGTGTGAACAGCGCTGTGTGCTGCCATGTGCAGAATTTTCATAGGCGTTTGAGAAGCGTTAAAAAGTTTCCCAAATGCCTGTCTGACCCCTGCTGACAAAGTGTGAACGTGCCTGACACTGCTACCAATTTTTTATTTTTTTTTTTAAATCCTGACCTTTGACCCTGACCTTGACCAAAACACTTACCCTGGCACTGAACTAGATCAAACCTTCATCAAGGCATTTTTTCTTTATTTTTTAATATTTTATATATATATTATTTTTTTGTAATAAACATTTTTTTCCCCCCTTTACATCAGGAGTTAGAGAGATACAACGTATCTCCTCCATTCATAGAGAAAGAAAAAAACAAGGGGGCCTGGCTGTACAGTGGCTGATCACTGTGATAGCCAATCAGAGTCTATCACAGCGATCATGTGACCTGGAATCGGGAGTCCCGGGTCCCAATCGTTAGAACGGGACCCAGGACCCTCAGTGACACCGCGGTCTTTGTGCTGGGAGCGCGCTGTGAGGCGCGCTCCCAGCACAAAGACAGATACGCAAATATGTGGCCCCCATGGAAAAAAGCCCAGTTCTGTGAGGCCGCATAATTGTGTGACGTCGGGTTAAAGAGATTGGCCTAATGATACAAATAATGTCTAGTGATTCCGGGTGCAGCCAGCAATCCCCCCGCAGAGGGCGCAGCCAGCCATCCCCGGCAGAGGGCGCAGCCAGCCATCCCCGGCAGAGGGCGCAGCCAGCCATCCCCGGCAGAGGGAGCAGCCAGCCATCCCCGGCAGAGGGCGCAGCCAGCCATCCCCGGCAGAGGGCGCAGCCAGCCATCCCCGGCAGAGGGCGCAGCCAGCCATCCCCGGCAGAGGGCGCAGCCAGCCATCCCCGGCAGAGGGCGCAGCCAGCCATCCCCGGCAGAGGGCGCAGCCAGCCATCCCCGGCAGAGGGAGCAGCCAGCCATCCCCGGCAGAGGGAGCAGCCAGCCATCCCCGGCAGAGGGAGCAGCCAGCTATCCCCCGCAGAGGGCGCAGCCAGCTATCCCAAGCAGAGGGCGCAGCCAGCTATCCCCCGCAGAAGGGCGCAGCCAGCTATCCCCCGCAGAGGGCGCAGCCAGTTATCCCCCGCAGAGGGCGCAGCCAGCTATCCCCAGCAGAGGGGCGCAGCCAGCTATCCCAAGCAGAGGGCGCAGCCAGCTATCCCCCGCAGAAGGGCACAGCCAGCTATCCCAAGCAGAGGGCGCAGCCAGTTATCCCCCGCAGAAGGGCGCAGCCAGCTATCCCCCGCAGAAGGGCGCAGCCAGCTATCCCCCGCAGAAGGGCGCAGCCAGCTATCCCCCGCAGAAGGGCGCAGCCAGCTATCCCCCGCAGAAGGGCGCAGCCAGCTATCTCCCGCAGAAGGGCGCAGCCAGTTATCCCAAGCAGAGGGCGCAGCCAGTTATCCCAAGCAGAAGGGCGCAGCCAGCTATCCCCCGCAGAAGGGCGCAGCCAGCTATCCCCCGCAGAAGGGCGCAGCCAGCTATCCCCCGCAGAAGGGCGCAGCCAGCTATCCCCCGCAGAAGGGCGCAGCCAGTTATCCCAAGCAGAGGGCGCAGCCAGCTATCCCCCGCAGAGGGCGCAGCCAGCTATCCCCCCGCAGAAGGGCGCAGCCAGTTATCCCAAGCAGAGGGCGCAGCCAGTTATCCCAAGCAGAAGGGCGCAGCCAGTTATCCCAAGCAGAGGGCGCAGCCAGCTATCCCCCGCAGAAGGGCGCAGCCAGCTATCCCCCGCAGAAGGGCGCAGCCAGTTATCCCAAGCAGAGGGCGCAGCCAGTTATCCCAAGCAGAGGGCGCAGCCAGTTATCCCAAGCAGAAGGGCGCAGCCAGCTATCCCCCGCAGAAGGGCGCAGCCAGTTATCCCCCGCAGAAGGGCGCAGCCAGCTATCCCCCGCAGAAGGGCGCAGCCAGCTATCCCCCGCAGAAGGGCGCAGCCAGCTATCCCCCGCAGAAGGGCGCAGCCAGCTATCCCCCGCAGAAGGGCGCAGCCAGCTATCCCCCGCAGAAGGGCGCAGCCAGCCATCTCCCGCAGAGGGCGCAGCCAGCTATCCCCCGCAGAGGGCGCAGCCCTCTAGTCGTTTCTCCGCACCTGCAGAATGCGAGTTGCTTTTTGCTTGTAATCCATCATTTCCTGTTTTACAGACTCTGCCGCAGCCTTTGCAACCTTCAGCTGCTGCTGCAGATCGTCGCACCTCCTCTTCTCCTCCATGTGTTTCTTCTCAGCCCCCATCACTGAGTCCACCAGGTTCTGGCGCTCTGCTTCCATCTTGCTGAGACGAGCGGAAAATTCATTCTGCGGATAGATCCACAGAGATGGATTATTACAAAGATCGACGATTTCCAATTAGTTTTTGTTTTGTGAGCTTAAAGCGATACTAAACCCAAAAATGTAATATATTTCAGCTTTCCAATCACTAGATGCAGTGGCTGCTTTTGTTTTTCTCTTTTTTTTTTTCTCCTCGTTTTCACCTGGTGATCTGGCCAGTAGCGCACCTCCTGTATTAGAGCGCCCCCACTCTGGATGAAGGAGCACAGGGGGCACCTTTAGACAGCAGCATAGTCAGTCTGGGGGGAGGCGAGTGTTAGATGGACTAGTAGATTTAGATACACTAACCAAACTCCAGTCCGCGCTGCAGTTACAACAGTTTTCTCTTTTGTGATAAAGGTTTTACATAAATCAATAAACGCTGATCATTGTAAACACCACAGTTGGGTGTAAATGGTTTCTCATCTCTAACTAATATATTCTGTAGGAAAGCTTTGTTCTTTTGAAAAACAACAGACTTACTGGCTGGATTACCAGATAAAAAAAAAAAAAAAAAGGAAATAAAGCCTTACAAAAAAGAAAACAAATGCAGCCATCACATCTAAGAATTGGTAAGCTGCAATATAATAAATGTTTGCTTTTGGGTTTAATACCGCTTTAAAAGGAATGAATATATAATAAAATCTATTTTTGTATACTTGTGATGCTCAATGATAAAAAATACACAGTAGGCTTGATTTACTAAAGCTGGAGAGTGCAAAATCTGGTGCAGCTCAGCACAATAACCAATCCGCTTTCAGGTTTTATTGTCAAAGTTTAACCATTTCCCTACCGTCCTATAGCAGGACTACTACTACAGGGCAGCAGGGCTGTGCAAAATCCCGTATATATACATGATTTTTTATTTCTGGGTAAGGGGCCCATGCGCCCTTTGGCGGCTACAGATCTCAATCACCGGGTCCCGCCCGGAGATTCCCCGCCGGCACCCAGCGATCGCTGAGAAACAGTGACAGGGGAGAGACCTGTGTGTAAACAACACAGATCTCTCTCCTGCCAGCAGGAACATGCTGCACAGCAGAGAAATACACAGCAGCATGTCTCCCTAGAAAAACACACACAGCACACACAAAGTTAACCCTTTGATCGCCCCAGATGTTAACCCCTTCCTGCCCAGTGCCATTAGTACAGTGTCAGTGCTTTTTATTAGCACTGATCACTGTAATGGTGTCACTGGGGATGTCAGTGACAGTCAGTTCTCCCCCCGTGTCAGAATGCCCGCCGCAGTCCCGCTATAAGTCGCTGATCGCCGCCATTACAAGTATAAAAAAAAAACAATTTTTTTACATTCCAGTATATATACCGCCATTTACAAACACTATAACTTTCATGTAAACCAATTAATTTACACGTATTGGAAATTTTTTTTTTTTTTTTTTAGCAAAAAAGACATACATTTTGGCCTAAATTTAAGACGAAATCTGTTCTTTTTTCTATAAAACATGTCCAGTAAAAAATAAAAAAAGTAAAAAATATTGGGGGGTTTTTTTTCTAAAAATTGTCGGTCTTTCTTAGTTTATAGCGCAAAAAAAAAAAAAAAAAACCGCAGAGGCGATCAAATACCACTGAAAGAAAGCTCTATTTGTGGGGAAAAAAAGGACATACATTTCATTTGGGTGCAGCGCTGCATGACCGCACAATTGTCAGTTAAAGTAATGCAGCGCCGTATCGCAAAAAATGGCGTGGAAAGGGGGTAAATGCTATATCCGCTCTCCCCGGACCCCGCGTTCACCATGTCCGCTCTCCCCGGACCCCGCGTTCACCATGTCCGCTCTCCCCGGACCCCGCGTTCACCATGTCCGCTCTCCCCGGACCCCGCGTTCACCATGTCCGCTCTCCCCGGACCCCGCGTTCACCATGTCCACTCTCCCCGGACCCCGCGTTCACCATGTCCGCTCTCCCCGGACCCCGCGTTCACCATGTCCGCTCTCCCCGGACCCCGCGTTCACCATGTCCGCTCTCCCCGGACCCCGCGTTCACCATGTCCGCTCTCCCCGGACCCCGCATTCACCATATCCTCTCTCCCCGGACCCTGCATTCACCATATCCGCTCTCCCCGGACCCTGCATTCACTATATCCGCTCTCCCCGGACCCTGCATTCACTATATCCGCTCTCCCCGGACCCTGCATTCACTATATCTGCTCTTCCCAGACCCTGCATTCACCATGTCCGCTCTCCCCGGACCCCGCATTCACCATGTCCGCTCTCCCCGGACCCCGCATTTTATTGGTTTGTAGCCAGGTGTGCCAGCAAGGGACCTGAGGAGAGGAGGATTGGGACTGCTCAGTGCAAAACCATTACACAGAACATGTAAGCATGACTTTTTTTTTGACCCCTAGAATCACTTTAAAGGCTAATGGGCCAATTAGGTTACATGTTGCTGCCCCCATTCTGTAAATGGCACAGGAGGAGAAGTGACCCCCCGCAGGAATAAATCAATGGTGCCCGGTTGCACAGCACTGTAGCAGTCATAAACAGAAGGCCCAAGTTTGAGGGTGAAAACTTCTGGAAAACATGGAGAGCATGTCTGGCCAAGGTAAACATCTACCATGCTTCACATATTCTTTCCTCCCTGGCTGCTGTGATTCTGTCAGGAGCCGTAAAGCGAGTCACTGAGGACTCAGACCTGCATCTGTTTGTAGCCGTCCTGTTCTCGTTTCAGTGCAGCTTCTGCTTCCCGCAGCCTCTCCTGTATACTCTGCAAGGCCTGGTTGTGGAGGCTGCTTCCTTCACTGTGATCCTGCAGGATCCTGCGGAGAGAGATCAGAAACCATCACTTCTACTGGACACAGGACAAGGAGAGCACAACGGCTCAGTGTCAGGATAGGGAAGGCTTGCATTGGCTGCATGGAGATCACAACACACAACCAAATCAAATTCCCACCCGAGCCTGAGAATGGAGGTCTCCTCCCTGAAACTGCGGGTCTATCAGCTCTATCGGGGCGACATTTTCATTATTAATACACAACTAGTCTGGTATGAAAAGCATTTTATATAGAGTATCGGCCTGGAATTCATCTATAAAGCCCCGGAAGAATGGCTGAGCCCCTTTATATTGTTTATCGTATGGAAGCCACGGCTCACCTCGATTTCTCACTCTGCAACAAGTCCAGAGCCTCCGTGCGGCTACTCAGTAACTGATCAGCTTCCTGTAGTCGCACCTTCAGTACTGCCAACTGGGAGTCCTTGGCAGCCGCTGCCTCCGTCAGATCGTCCATCTGGGCCCGCAGCTCTCTCACGGTTCTGTCACTCTTGGAATTGTCGCCATTCCACTTCTCTATCCGCATCCTCGCTTCACTCAGCTCTGCAAAGGAGTGATGTCATCAGCAACGCAGGGATACCAAACAACCTGCACTGTGCAGTCATTGTACTCTGGCTGCGGGCTTACCTACATTTCAGCACTTTGGAGCGGTCAAAGCTTTGCCTAATAGTCAAGATCTGCATTCCCCTGGGACAGGCTGGTATATAGACCTCTAGGTTCCTGCATTCTATACGTGCCGTAGCGTGCCCCCCAGCCCCAGTGGCAGAGTCTCTTTACCCCCTTTACACCAGCACTTTAAAATGACCTGTGACACCCAAACCCAGTAGGTGGGGCTCTTAATTTTGCTGCACTGCGATTGACTGCACAGTCCTGGAGTCATTGATGGTCCACCTACTGGCTCCAGATTGCAGCAGTTGATTGTGATTGTCAGCAGGGGCGGACTGACCATTTGGAGGGCCCGGGGTCAGTAGGGGGCCCATGAGATGCCCCTGGTACCTTTTTCATAGGCTATTTTGAGTTTGGGCAAGGACACAGGGGCCCCATGACCCCTATTGCCCGGGGGCCCCATGAGTTGTCAGTCTGCCCCTGGCTGTCAGTGATAGTTTTGTCACAAGACAGCAAAGTACACATGCAGCGGCTGAAGGTTGGGGCCCAACTGCACATTTATGTGCAATGCGGTCATAAACCGTTGAGGGGTTAAAACGTAGATCATTATAGCTTAGCATAGTATGCCATCATTTGGATAGAGAAAGCAGCACCTGCAGAAGGTACTAAAGAAGCACCCTTGTCACTTCCTCTCATTGTATGACACCACTGCAACAAACTACAATTCCCAACATGCAACAGAAAACTAACTAACATTCTCAATGAACTTGACAGTGGAGGGGTGCTTATTTGAAACTCATTTACATAGCCTTTCAACCTATTCCAGTAGGTGAGAATGGGTACAAGAGATCAGGAGACTTCTGACCTGTCAATCATAAAGGTGTGTGATGGTGGATGAGACAGACCAAGAGCCTCCTGGTCTGCCATTATGTCATGGTGGGTGAGACAGACCAAGAGCCTCCAAGTCCACCATTATGTCATGGTGGGTGAAATAGACCAAGAGCCTCCTGGTCTGCCAATATGTCATGGAGGGTGAGACAGACCAACAGCCTCCTGGTCTGCCAATATGTCATGGAGGGTGAGACAGACCAACAGCCTCCTGGTCTGCCAATATGTCATGGAGGGTGAGACAGGCCAAAAGCCTCCTGGTCTGCCATTACGTCATGGGGGGTGAGAAAGGCCAAAAGCCTCCTGGTCTGCCATTACGTCATGGTGGGTGAGAAAGGCCAAAAGCCTCCTGGTCTGCCATTACGTCATGGTGGGTGAGAAAGGCCAAAAGCCTCCTGGTCTGCCAATATGTCATGGAGGGTGAGACAGGCCAAAAGCCTCCTGGTCTGCCATTATGTAATGGCGGGTGAGACAGACCAAGAGCCTCCTGGTCTGCCATTATGTTATGGTGGGTGAGACAGACCAAGACCCTCCTGGTCTGCCAATATGTCATGGAGGGTGAGACAGACCAACAGCCTCCTGGTCTGCCATTAGGTAATAGTGGGTGAGACAGACCAAGAGCCTCCTGGTCTGCCATTATGTAATGGTGGGTGAGACAGACCAAGACCCTCCTGGTCTGCCATTATGTAATGGTGGGTGAGACAGACCAAGACCCTCCTGGTCTGCCAATATGTCATGGAGGGTAAGACAGGCCAACAGCCTCCTGGTCTGCCATTATGTCATGGTGGGTGAGACAGACCAAGAGCCTCCTGGTCTGCCATTATGTCATGGTGGGTGAGACAGACCAACAGCCTCCTGGTCTGTCATTATGTCATGGTTGGTGAAACAGACCAAGAGCCTCCTGGTCTGCCATTATGTCATGGTGGGTGAAACAGACCAAGAGCCTCGTGGTCTGCCATTATGTCATGGTGGGTGAGACAGACCAAGAGCCTCCTGGTCTGTCAATATGTAATGGTGGGTGAGACAGACCAAGACCCTCCTGGTCTGCCAATATGTCATGGAGGGTGAGACAGACCAACAGCCTCCTGGTCTGCCATTAGGTAATAGTGGGTGAGACAGACCAAGAGCCTCCTGGTCTGCCATTATGTAATGGTGGGTGAAACAGACCAAGAGCCTCGTGGTCTGCCATTATGTCATGGTGGGTGAGACAGACCAAGAGCCTCCTGGTCTGTCAATATGTAATGGTGGGTGAGACAGACCAAGAGCCTCCTGGTCTGCCATTATGTCATGGTGGGTGAGACAGACCAAGAGCCTCCTGGTCTGCCATTATGTTATGGTGGGTGAGACAGACCAAGACCCTCCTGGTCTGCCAATATGTCATGGAGGGTGAGACAGACCAACAGCCTCCTGGTCTGCCATTAGGTAATAGTGGGTGAGACAGACCAAGAGCCTCCTGGTCTGCCATTATGTAATGGTGGGTGAGACAGACCAAGACCCTCCTGGTCTGCCATTATGTAATGGTGGGTGAGACAGACCAAGACCCTCCTGGTCTGCCAATATGTCATGGAGGGTAAGACAGGCCAACAGCCTCCTCCTGGTCTGCCATTATGTCATGGTGGGTGAGACAGACCAAGAGCCTCCTGGTCTGCCATTATGTCATGGTGGGTGAGACAGACCAACAGCCTCCTGGTCTGTCATTATGTCATGGTTGGTGAAACAGACCAAGAGCCTCCTGGTCTGCCATTATGTCATGGTGGGTGAAACAGACCAAGAGCCTCGTGGTCTGCCATTATGTCATGGTGGGTGAGACAGACCAAGAGCCTCCTGGTCTGTCAATATGTAATGGTGGGTGAGACAGACCAAGAGCCTCCTGGTCTGCCATTATGTCATGGTGGGTGAGACAGACCAAGAGCCTCCTGGTCTGTCAATATGTAATGGTGGGTGAGACAGACCAAGAGCCTCCTGGTCTGCCATTATGCCATGGTGGGTGAAATAGACCAAGACCCTCCTGGTCTGTCATTATGTCATGGAGGGTGAGACAGGCCAAGAGCCTCCTGGTCTGTCATGTCATGGAGGGTGAGACAGACGAAGAGCCTCCTGGTCTGTCAAACAAGTTTGACTGTGTTCATTATTACTACAGACCCGGAGTCTGGTATCTTTGGTCCTCCCACTACAGCAAACAGTGATGTACTTACATCTCTTTTCTCTCCATCCTCATAGGCTCAGACACAGCAGAAGGAGCCATTGGATCCCGATGGCAGCAATCAGAGCCGGTGAGGAGGGAGCTGGGGTTGGAAATGAGTCACATGGACACAGACAGCCAGCTCAGGAGCAAACACGCAAGAGAGCCACTTGCTCTGGGGGAATTTAGCAGAAGGGAGAAGCCAGGAGAATTGGTGGGGGACCCCAGAGACCAAAACCATTACACAAAGCAGGTAAGTATGACATGCTTGTTTTATTTTAATTTCTGCCCAGAGTTCAACTTTAGGTAAATGAATAAAAACGCTGAATTGCTATGCTCATAAAAAGAAAAAAAAAAAAAAAAAAAGGACAGTTGCACTGCGATGACATCTTAGAAACCTTTATTGAAAGCAGAGCATAGAAACCATAAAGACAGGAGTCCTCAATGCTGGACAATTGTGCTTCCAGTGTCCATGCTCAGCTTTCAATAAAGCTTTTTAAGCTCGACGGTCATTGGCTGCCGGTAACCTCAGAGGGGGTCAAGACTGGCCGGGTATGGCAGATCTCAGGTAAGATCCTCGTTACCTTCCTGGGTCTCCTTGGATCTCTGGATGAGTGTTGCCATCTCCTGGTTCAGGGACTGGACCTCGTTTCTGAGCAGCTGGTTCTCCAGGCGGAGATTGGACAGTTCGTGGGATTTCTGGTCTCCATTACCGTGGCTGGAGGTGGACGACGTGTCTGAGGCTTTGCTGTCCGAGACTTTATCTTCCTGAGTGTTGTCTGCGGGCTGAAAATCTGTGAATGATACAAATCCCACCAACAGAATGCAATGAGAGTTTGAACACAAAACTGACCAAATGAAAAAAAAATCCTCATAGTAAAGTAAAAATGCAGCTTAAAGCCAACTGGTCCTACAAATGTTATCTTGTAGCAGAATATTGTGCCGGCAGCTTCTCACATTTTCATAGCTGTGATCTGGATGCAATTATTTAGAGGGTAGTTGTGATTTCTCAGACTGTCCTGAGGACTCATGAGGAAACCCCAGATAACAGAGAGCTGCCCCCTGACTTGGGATTTGAACCTTATCTATTTTTAAAGAATAAGTTCACCTTTCCTAACATGTTATACCCATATTCAGTGTAAATGCAGGATCCTGGGTATAGTCACAGTTTAGGCCATCCCTACATGGATCGAAATGTTGAAAGATTAGAGCAACTGAATTTATTCTCTCTTGAGAAGAGGAGATTAAGGGGGGATATGATCACCATGTATAATACATAAGGGGGGGATATGATCTCCATGTATAATACATAAGGGGGGGATATGATCTCCATGTATAATACATAAGGGGGGATATGATCTCCATGTATAATACATAAGGGGGGATATGATCTCCATGTATAATACATAAGGGGGATATGATCTCCATGTATAATACATAAGGGGGGGATATGATCTCCATGTATAATACATAAGGGGGGATATGATCTCCATGTATAATACATAAGGGGGATATGATCTCCATGTATAATACATAAGGGGGGGATATGATCTCCATGTATAATACATAAGGGGGGATATGATCTCCATGTATAATACATAAGGGGGGATATGATCTCCATGTATAATACATAAGGGGGATATGATCTCCATGTTATAATATATAAGGGGGGATATGATCTCCATGTATAATACATAAGGGGGGGATATGATCTCCATGTATAATACATAAGGGGGGATATGATCTCCATGTATAATACATAAGGGGGGATATGATCTCCATGTATAATACATAAGGGGGATATGATCTCCATGTATAATATATAAGGGGGGATATGATCTCCATGTATAATACATAAGGGGGGGATATGATCTCCATGTATAATACATAAGGGGGGATATGATCTCCATGTATAATACATAAGGGGGGGATATGATCTCCATGTATAATACATAAGGGGAGATATGATCTCCATGTATAATACATAAGGGGGGATATGATCTCCATGTATAATACATAAGGGGGGATATGATCACCATGTATAATACATAAGGGGGGATATGATCTCCATGTATAATACATAAGGGGGGATATGATCTCCATGTATAATACATAAGGGGGGATATGATCTCCATGTATAATATATAAGGGGGGATATGATCTCCATGTATAATGCATAAGGGGGGATGTGATCTCCATGTATAATACATAAGGGGGGATATGATCACCATGTATAATACATAAGGGGGGGATATGATCTCCATGTATAATACATAAGGGGGGATATGATCTCCATGTATGATACATAAGGGGGGTATGATCTCCATGTATAATACATGAGGGGGGATATGATCTCCATGTATAATACATAAGGGGGTGATACGATCTCCATGTATAATACATCAGTGGTTCATATAGTGAACTCGGTGTAGTTATTCCCCCTGAGGACATCACAGAGGACAAGGGGGCGCTCTTTACATCTGGAGGAAAAGAAATGTAATCTCCAAACATGGAAAGGTTTCTTCACAGTAAGAGCTGTGAGAATGTGGAATAGACTCCCTCCAGAGTTGGTTGTGGCCAGCTCAGTGGATTGCTGTAGGAAAGTCTTGGATTCTTTCTTGGATACACAGAATATAACTGGATATAACATTTATAGGGAAAGTTGATCCAGGGAATATCCGATTGCCTCTCGGGGGATCAGGAAGGAATTTTTCCCCTGCAGGAGCAAATTGGATCATGCTTTGCTGGGGTTTTATGCCTTCCTCTGGATCAACTGTGGGTGTAGGATTATAAAACTTTTTTTTTTTTTTATGGTTGAACTGGATGTCTCTTTTTCAGCCAGACTAACTATGTAATGATGAAATTGTGCCGGGTTCCTTAGGTCCCATAATGAGTATAACAAGGATGCTTTACCGCATATTCCTGTCTAAATTGGCCCTAGTATGTGTATGTATGAATGTGAGTTAGGGACCTTAAATTGTACGCCCCTTGAGGGTTAGGGCCCTTAGATTGTACGCCCCTTGAGGGTTAGGGCCCTTAGATTGTACGCCCCTTGAGGGTTAGGGCCCTTAGATTGTACACCCCTTGAGGGTTAGGGACCTTAGATTGTACACCCCTTGAGGGTTAGGGACCTTAGATTGTACGCCCCTCGGGGGTTAGGGACCTTAGATTGTACGCCCCTTGAGGGTTAGGGACCTTAGATTGTACGCCCCTTGAGGGCTAGGGACCTTAGATTGTACGCTCCTCGAGGGTTAGGGACCTTAGATTGTACGCTCCTCGAGGGTTAGGGACCTTAGATTGTACGCCCCTTGAGGGTTAGGGACCTTAGATTGTACGCCCCTTGAGGGTTAGGGACCTTAGATTGTACGCCCCTTGAGGGTTAGGGACCTTAGATTGTACGCCCCTCGGGGGTTAGGGACCTTAGATTGTACTCCCCTCGAGGGTTAGGGACCTTAGATTGTACGCCCCTCGGGGGTTAGGGACCTTAGATTGTACGCCCCTTGAGGGTTAGGGATCTTAGATTGTACGCCCCTTGAGGGTTAGGGACCTTAGATTGTACGCTCCTCGAGGGTTAGGGACCTTAGATTGTACGCCCCTCGAGGGTTAGGGACCTTAGATTGTACGCCCCTTGAGGGTTAGGGACCTTAGATTGTACGCCCCTTGAGGGTTAGGGACCTTAGATTGTACGCCCCTTGAGGGTTAGGGACCTTAGATTGTACGCCCCTTGAGGGTTAGGGACCTTAGATTGTACGCCCCTTGAGGGTTAGGGACCTTAGATTGTACGCCCCTTGAGGGTTAGGGACCTTAGATTGTACGCCCCTTGAGGGTTAGGGACCTTAGATTGTACGCCCCTTGAGGGTTAGGGACCTTAGATTGTACACCCCTTGAGGTTAGGGACCTTAGATTGTACGCCCCTTGAGGGTTAGGGACCTTAGATTGTACACCCCTTGAGGGTTAGGGACCTTAGATTGTACGCCCCTTGAGGGTTAGGGACCTTAGATTGTACACCCCTTGAGGGTTAGGGACCTTAGATTGGACGCCCCTTGAGGGTTAGGGACTGATGTGAATGTACAATATATATGTAAAGTGCTGCGTAAATTGATGGCGCTATATAAGTACCTGAAATAAATAAATAAATATACAGACTGATTGGACTGTTGTGGGTTTAGTAACACTGTAAGGCTGCTAATGGCGGCTCCAATATTTCACGCAGGAAAAGTTCACTGTAAATGAAAGCTCCGCCCGTAGAGTAACCATCGCCGTGTCTATAAGCAGCGACCAGAATATCTTACTGCTGAACCAGCGGATTCATCGTGCTGCAGACTAGTCCGTACTTAACGTCTTTAATTAGACCCGTCATCGGCTTATACGTCTGACAAATCTTCTTACGCCGACATTACCAGCCGTGATCTTGGAAAGATGCAGTTTGATGTTCCTGGGCACAGAGCCCCGGCCACGTACCTGGCACCATTCCCGAACACACAGCGGACATCCACAGACAGCCGGCCATTCTTCTGATAACACGCTGACAGGCGGGGGGAGAGTTCCCCTGTAATGGGCTGTGGTGGTGGTGAGAGGCACCTTACCCATAACAACGTGATAAAAAAATAATGTTCTTTTTGCAAGGAATTTACATTTCACAATAATTCTGCTACCAAAATGAGTGTGAGCTGTAAATTGCCTCCAGCATTGTTCCAGTTTCTCCATAGTGGAGGCGGCCATTCTGCTGAAGCCCCTGAGCAGCAGTAACTCTTTAGGCTGTCAGCAGATTGGCCTCTACACTTTTGGCACAGTGCCTATCAACAGAGGTCAACTGAGCATGTGCAGAGCGGGGTGAGACAGTGTATTACTGGATTGTATACAGTATACCGATTCATGGTTTACATAGCTATACCTACAGAAGGGACCAGCCTGAAGCCGTCTAGCAGGATTTCATTTTCCGGCTAAAGTTCCACATTAAAGCGGTGGTCCAGTTAGAATAAAAAAAAAAAAAAAAAAAAAAAACTGTAGCTGCTGACTTTTAAAAAAAAACGGACACTCACCTGTCCCATGATCCCACGGTGTCCTCACACCGGCCAGGTTGACCGACTGTCCTGTCCCCCTTGGCATCTTCAGTGTGGGCACCCAGCTGTGGCAGCTTCACAGCCGGGTGCCCACTGCACATGTGCGAGAAGCGCTGCGTTTTGTGAATGGTCCCGTAGTCTTCTGGGGCCGGTCACATGTCCAAGAAGACTACGGGGAGGGCAACTTCTGCTGCCAATCACCTGGGCAAGGGTTCTCCAAACTGTGGCTGGTGGGCTGGATGTGGTCCTTTTCTTGCTTTTATCTGGCCTTTGGGGCACTTTTCCTTCCACTGATATGGGGCGCTGTTCTCCCGCCGACACCAATGATGGGGCGCTGCTCCTCCTGCCGACACCAACGACGGGGCGCTGCTCCGCCCGCCGACACCAACGACGGGGCGCTGCTCCGCCCGCCGACACCAATGATGGGGCGCTGCTCCTCCCGCCGACACCAACGATGGGGCGCTGCTCCTCCCGCTGACACCAACCATGGGGCGCGCTGCTCCTCCCCGCCGACACCAACGATGGGGCGCTGCTGCTCCTCCCGCCGACACCAACGATGGGGCACTATTCCTCCCACTGACACCATTGATGGGGCGCTATTCCTCCCACTGACCCCAACGATGGGGCACTGTTTTTCCCACTGACCACCAAGCCTAGGGTATTGTTTACTCCCACTGATGATGGGGCATTTTCTACGCTCACTGGCCACAATCCGGCCCCCCTTAAAGTTTGAAGGGTAGTAAACTGGCCCTTTGTTTCAAAAGTTTGGAGACCCCTGGCCTAGGAAATTGCA